CAATCTTTTATGTTAATTTTATCTTCAAACTATTTTGATTTATTAATTAAACATTGTTATTAAACTCGGTCCGGCCTGACAAGTAGACTCAAGACTCTATCAACCAGGTGGCTGGACCACACCGGATTTAATAAAAAGCTAGTTGGAGTAATAGCCCGACCAAACTCTAACAACCTAATGAGTCGACCCATGACTCGAACAAACACAGACAAGATCCAATTTTTTTTTAAATGTGGGATTTGAAATCCATTAGTATATATATTCTATATTCCAAAAAAAACCATGTTTTTTCAATATGAGATATTTTTTTTTTTGATTTAGATACTTTAACTTAAAAGGATAATATAATATTTTTTCAATATGAAATAAAAAAATATTTTTTTAAACTTAATTGTTTTCAATATTTATAACATATATTTACATGGATTTTTTCATATAAAATATTAAAATTTTATTTTTTAAAATTTTTTCGAGTTAATTTGAGATGACCCGGGTTGACCCATAAAATTAGGATCCGGCTTTTTGGCCAAGTCAATCCCTGGATCGAGTTTAATAACTTGTAATTAAAGACTTTTATTATAATTATTTAACAAAATGTTAATTTTGTTTTTCAAAATGAAATTGTTTTCACAAAAAAAAAGGATGGAAATATGAATAAAAAGCCTAAAAAATGAATTAAAGTCCTTGTTTGAGAATGAAAATAATATATAAAGTTATTTAATGGTAAAATTGAGACTAGCTGTATAAATTAAAAAAAAAAAAGAATATTTTTGAGATTTGCCCTTTTTTAAAATCCACGAATTGATCCAAATATGTTAAGAATTTACTATCTTTCCTTTACTAGATGATACAAAGCGGAAGTAATCCTTAGAATCTTTTCCTTATTTATTTGTCAAGATTAAAGCCAATGTTTGTTAGCTTTAAAACTAGAAAAACTCAACTGATATATTTTTAAGAAAAACAAAAAACAGATAATCAATTAGAAAAAATAAAAATAAAAATAAAAATAAAAATAAAAATATACAATTAAAAATAAAGCTTGTTAAATTAACAGCTATTTTAAAATAAAATATAAAATTTTTAAAACTTTATCCCTCAAGTATCATGCAATTCTCAATTGGATCTCCAAATAAAAACATTCTCAATTGAATCCCCATTTATTTTGGTTCTCAATTGCATCCCCTTTTATTTAACCCTTCTCTTAAATCTTTGCCTTTAAAATCACATGAACAAAATGGGATTACTGTCTTCAAAAACTTTTTTCCTTTAAGAGATGGCACAAATCCGCATATTACCATTTGGGTTTTTTTTTTTCATAATAGAAATACATTGGAAAATTACTAATTATACTAAGAGAATTGGGGTGTGCATTGTTTTTTTTTATCATAATTTTTTTAATTGTAATTTCATTCTTCCAAATTACATTAACATGGTTTCATGTGTTGAGCTTTCTTTATATATATATATATAAGTGTCAAAATATATTTCAATAATGAATTAAATATTGATTTTCAAAATAACATTTTATTTGTAGCTAAAATATAAATTAAAAGAAGGATCAAAATTTAACAAAAAAGGACCCAATTGAATATGGGCATGATAAACTTGAATTTCCTCCCTAAAGCTTAAGCTTAGTTGTTGTTTGGTCCTTTTTATTTTAGAATTTCATATTTTGATCCCAATTTTTTTTCATGTTTAACCCTAAATGTTGAAAGAAAATAAAAAGAAGTCAACAAAAAATATTGAAGAGAAAAAAATAGTCGGATGTAAACACTTCAATCAACAAAAAGAGTGATAATAGAGAGTGTTTGAAATGGTAATAATAAGTGATTTTTAAAGTGTTTTTTGATTGGAAATTTATCAAAATACTATATATATATATTTTATTTTATTTTTAAAAAATTATTTCTATATCAGTACATGAAAATGATCTATAAAAAAATTAAAGCAAAAAAAATTTTAAATTTTTTGAAAACTCCAATTAACAAATTGTCCCAAATAAACACTCAGTGTCAACATGTCTTTTTTAATATATAAAAGAGTTTAATGGAGGAGTTGTTGCCTTATAATCATTCTAGAAAAAACAATGGATGAGGCTCCTTAATTTTTTTTTTAATTTGTTTGATTTTTATATTTTAACATTAAAGAATTTTTTTTTTGGATCCAGTAGGGTTTTTTAAATGAAAAATAAATTTAAAATGGATCCAGTAGGGTTTTTAGGGGTTTTTTAAATGAAAAATAAATTTAAAATAAATTTTTAAGTTCCAAAATTCAAATCATAATTTTTCAACCACTAAGGGTGATTGGAAAATATTGCGATGAACAATAGATTGTCTGTTGAGAGAGAAAGATGGAATGAAAAAGCTGTCGACTCTTTAAAACAAAAATCAGTTAGGCTTGCAAGTTAGGGCTTTTGAATCCCTTGCCAAACCTAACAATTATTGACTTTTTTTTTTAACGGTTGATTTCTTAAATTTTAATTAATATTATCCTTTGTTTTTGTTTATTTATTTGTTATAATTTTAATTAACACTATCTTTCTTATTTTTTAATTGTTTACTTTATTTAAAAAAAAAACAATAGTTATTTTTAAATTGTTTTTAATTTTCATAATGTTTCAATGAGATTATTATGATTGATCTTTAATTTTTTTTAAATTTTGTTTTTTATATAAATAAATTGCATTTTGCATTGAATATTTATAAAAATGAAAATTATTTGCTATTGATAACGGTAAATAACTTCAAAGATAAAATAAATTAAAATTTAATTAAGGTTAAATATTTGCATGTGTTTTTGTCTTTTGTGTATTTATGAGAATGATTAGCATTTTAATTTAGTATTTAACTAGTATTAACAATTTTTTTCGGTTTATCACTTCATGTTTTTTTTAATTTATTTTATTAAATATAAATAATATTTTTTTATTTTTTCATTAAAAAATTATGATACTTGCAAAAACAAAGGGTGATAGGTTATCTGCGTGGGGAAACGACCTATCGCTGACTTATCACACAAAAAAGTGCTAGAGTGAAAGATTGGGTGTCCATCCTTTATAAAAAAACTGCTAAGCTCGCATGTATTGGCTTATCAGGCTTCACATTGCTTGATCTCTCTTTTTCTCATTTTTTTTTAAATTGATAATTTTTTTATAAGTTTTAATTAATGCCATCCTTTATTTTAATTAATCAAATTGTTTTTACTTTGCACTATTTTTTTATTAAAATTTTAATTAATATCCTCTTTCTTATTTTTAATTTTTTTTACTTCTCATGTTTTAAATAGTTGCTGATTATTTCTTCTTTTCATAATGCTTTGATGTGATTATTATAATTTGTAATTTATCTATATTTGTTTTATATAAATAAATTCTATTCTCATGATATATTTTAAAAAATAAAAAATATTTATTCTTAAATAACCTTTAGTATAAAGTAAATAAAAATATATAAAATAAAAAGTTCAGTGAAGTCTAAGATTTGTATGTGCTTTTACCTTTTGTTATTATAAAAAATATTACTTTGTTATTTTAATATTTAATTAATATTAACAATTTTTTATTAATTTATAATTTATTTTACTAAGCATATGTAATATCTTTTAATTTTTAATTAAAAAATTATAATACCTGCAAAAATATCATGATACATTTTTTATTATATTAAAAATTAAATTAAAATCTTGCCAATATTTAATGTTTTTAAATTTGATTTGATGGTCAATTCAATCCAAAGATTGAATCACAAGTTTTAATGATATCTTTTTAATAAAAATAAAAAGATAATTAATGAATTAAAATCAGATTTTTAATCCACTCTTGTTAGGTGAATTTACCAAATTAACTAAATTTTTAATTTTTTAATTTTTTTTATAAATTCAATTTAATTTTAAGCCCGATGAGTTTCAGATTAATATGCCAGGATGTACCAAATTTAAAACTATAGAGGGCTAGGAATATTAAAAAAAATATTTACTTGGTGTTTTTCTTTCTAAAGCCGTACTAAATATAAACATGGTCGGGCCGGGTCACCTGATTCGTTTTATTGCAGTCTTTAACAACACCTTCCTTCCCCGGATCCACCCGTAGTGACTCGACCACGACTCGAAAACCCTCCCCATTCCCCTCCCCCTACTAGTCTCTCGGTCTGTCCAGGGTTACAGTTCAGCGGCAAAAAGAGAAGGAAAATAATTCAGTGGTGAAGCGAGGTTAAGCATCCTCCTCGACCCAAGAATCATTCTACTTGAAAGCTTCTTGTTGTTTTTTGGCAGCAATTAAAAATTAGAGGAGGAGGAAGTAAAGAAAATGAGCATAGTAGCGAAAGAGACAATCGAAGTGATAGCACAAAGCATAGGAATAAGCAATTTGTCCGAAGATGTAGCACTTACTCTCGCTCCTGATGTCGAATTCCGCATGCGTCAAATCATGCAGGTATTGTATTCTTATTATTAACACAAGAAGAAAACTACCGATTCAGTTAATTATTTTTTATTTTAATGATGAAATCAAATAACAGGAAGCTATCAAATGTATGCGCCATTCCAAGAGGACTAGGTTGACTACAGATGATGTTGATGGCGCGCTTAACCTTACAAATGTTGAGGTAAAATTATGAACGACTGATGTTTAGGATAGTTTATTTGTTAAACATCATCTAATCGAAAAGGCTTTAGATGATGATGATGCATTGTTGTCTTATGCAGAAATAAGTTCTTATGTCTGTTTAGGTTTCATTCTATGAATTGCAGCAATTCATTACGTGTATCGATGGGTAACTAGGTTTAAATTTAAGAAGATTTTCAATCGAAAGGGTGCAAGTGGCAATAGATTGGACAGGATCATGTGGGCTAATTTATAGTCCAATCTGGATTTTCATTGAAGTGGAGAGACTCTCGAGAAAAAAATTGAACTCTTTCTTTCACCTAATGACCGAAAATGAACTTGAGGAAATGCTGGGACATTAGAATGGTTTTTTCAAGCATTATTCTACTCCTTTTTCCCCCCCTTTTTGTTTCAGTTTCAACATTATATTTTAGGGTAGAATTTCATTGTCTTGTCTTACAGCTTTTCCATTTGGATCTACTTTATTGGTGAAGGGCTGGAATAGGGTTGTGACAAAAAAGATGAATCTGACTTCATGACAAAAAATGAATCTGACTTTCTTATCATATGGTTCTATTTTTCTTCAGTCCTATGCCTGTTTTAGAAGTTGGGATTATTGATTTTTTGGCTGTGATGAGTAGAACTGCTTGTATGTTAACTATCAAATTTTTTTTTTGTTAATTCCTGGAAATGCTATTATTGTTAGTGTTCAACCTAATTCTGTTTAATTTTTCAGCCAATATATGGCTTTGCTTCCGGAGGTGCTTTGCAGTTCAAAAGAGCTATTGGTCATAGAGATTTGTTTTATGTTGATGACAAGGATATTGATTTTAAAGATGTAAGGAATTTGAAATTATATAAATTTCTCTTTAGATTGAAATTACTAGAACACTTTTTTTTTCAATGTTTATGTTTGAGTGATAGGTGATTGAGGCACCTTTGCCAAAAGCACCACTTGATACCGCAGTTGTTTGTCACTGGCTCGCTATTGAAGGTGTCCAACCTGCCATCCCAGAAAATGCTCCATTGGAAGGTCAGTCTCTTAATTTGGGATTTCATCAGCTTTTCATTACTGATAAACATAAGATGATATGATACAAGACCTAAGCTCTAGCAAGCTAGAATATATACCAATGCTGGAATGAAGCATTTAGTAGGCTTCTAGTACCTCTGAGCTCTTAAGATTTATGTTATGATCATTTTTCTTCTTTAATTGCTGTGATGAGACAATCACTTCTTCTAGAATTGTAGTGAGTTTGATCCTGTTAGTTGTCGTTTTTGATAAATTTTTATGTTGTGGTCAATGGAGACAATTCTTTATTCATTGTTTTAAAATTCCTTTCTGCTCAGTTTTGCTTTTACTTTTGGAGCTAATCTTTTGACGGATCATGTTTGTTCTGTAGTTATTGCTCCTCCTTCTGATGGCAAAATCAGCAAACAAAATGATGAATTTCCAGTTGATATCAAATTACCAGTTAAGCATGTATTGTCTAGGGAGTTACAGGTGTGCGATATATTATCAACAATTTTTTTTTTCCCATTTGTTTCCATAGTGCAGTGGTTTATTCTCTTTCTCTTTTCTTTTCCTTGTCTTTGCAGCTATACTTTGATAAAATCACGGATCTTACAGTGAGAAGGTCTGATTCTGTTCTCTTTAAAGAAGCATTAGTGAGTTTGGCCACTGACTCGGGACTTCATCCGTTGATTCCTTATTTCACATACTTTATAGCTGATGAGGTACTGCTTTCCTGACTATGTCACCCTCATTAACAGATACTGGATATACATGATCATTCCTTTTGCATTTTGTTTTTCTAATATTTGCTTATCCAATAACATAGGTTGCTCGTGGTTTAAATGATTACTCTCTTCTCTTTGCTTTGATGCGTGTTGTTTGGAGTCTTCTCCAGAATCCTCATATACACATTGAACCTTATGTAAGTTACCTGCAGTTTATTTTGTCTTCCTGTTTACCTTTGCAGGACTTGTATAGCATAATACATTAATAATCTCCAATTTTAGGTTTATTTATTGACAGTAGTTGTTGTGTCCACATGACATATGTTGATGTGGATGCATCATGATTGGATTTCAAATGGCCATTCATAAGAAATGGACTCGATTATAGTTATTATTAGCTTTACCCATTGAAACCTTTGTTCTGAATATTTTGGCATGTTCTATTCTCAAGTAGTCTGGGTTACAACTTCAAATGTAGTTAAGTGAATGATAATGACTTCAGAACTTATCTTTTTCCAAAAGAAATCCTTTAAACACACAGACAAGTGCGCGTGCACGCATGCACACACGCGCGAGCGCGCACACACACACTATATATATATAAACAAGAAGCACGTGCTGTAATTTGTCATTGTCATTTTTCCACTATCTAATCAGTACAGCATCCTTAACATCTGTGATTGACTTACTAATTGTGGCTTAAACTTTTTTTTTTAATCAGTTGTTTTACACTATGTGCACTTAATTGAATTCTGATGACCTATATCTACATTTACATCTGTACTATGTATAAAAACTCAGAGTCAAAATATTTGGTTTGACATAAATAAACCTCTTTTTTTTGTCTTTTTCTTTTTTAATGACTATATTATCCAACTTAATAGCCTTTGGTTCTATTCTATTCTATTTGTTAATTATACTATTATAGATGGTTTGAAAAACTAACTCTAAAAAAAAATTTATTCTTTTGTGTAATAAACTAGATTATACAGATATACCATTCATTGATTTTGGAAAGCTCTTTTGTCCTATATAATTATTGCATGAGTATCTGATGTAAGAAATATAGGAGGGAAATTTAATCTCTTTTTTTTTTGGTTACAAATTCATTTTATGAATGATTACTTTAACTGTTATGGGGTACTGAAGAACCATGACACTTATTAAGTAGGCCATAAACAGTACTAATGATTTAACCTGTACAGCTGGCTTCCTTCTTAAAAATTCTATGTTTTCAACTATCATTCATGTTTAGATCCTCTTGTGAAAAACCAGTGAGGTCATGAACTTGAAATTTCTAATTTGTCTACTGATTCATTTATGCAACAATAGAAAAGATAGTAATTACATTTTCATAAATAAACTCATCTTCTGTTATTATTAGATATGACGTGTTTCCTAGTCTTAGTTGGAAAGTAGTCTTTACTAGCAACCTACTTTCGGTTGTTTGAGCTCATAATTAGTAATAGAGTTCTGATGTCCCTGTACGAGTATTGTATAGCTTTGGGACCAAAATCCCTTGCAAATAAAAAGGAAGTCTTTTTTTTTTTCCTTACCCTCTGTGTAGCCCTTTATCATTTATTATAGATTTGTCTATCGTTACATTTTTTTTCCAAGGAATTTAGATTTGTCAGTTTAAATAGTGAAGTTTTTGTTCCAACAAAAAAGTGTGAATCTAAAATCATGTGCACTGTTAATTTACCAAGTACAGATAATAGTGAACATTCTCTCATTCATATTTAGCGTTATGAATAGTATAGATGAATACAAGATAAAGTCCGCTCACCGACTTTCTCTCTCTCTCTCTCTCTCTCTCTCTCACTCCCCCCTTTTCAAAGAACAAGAAAATTCATGGTGAGTGAAATACATGGAATTGATACAATTTACATGGTCTTACATGTAATTGCTTATGGGTTCATTTCCCCCCCTGTTTTCTGTGCATGGTATCTATTCTGACATTGTTAAATTCTTTATACCATAAGAATCTACAGAAGCAAGAATGAAATATTTTACCCAAGCATGTGAATGCAGTGTATTATATGATAAGTGATTTTTATATTGTCAGTGCATTGATTTATCAAGTGATATTGCGATGTTCATATGATGGAACAACTGTCATAATAACATTGAAATTAAAAATTTTAGACAACATATTAACTGGTCAGGGAAGAAAAGAGATTTTATTAATTGATATAGTAGTTTTCAATTAACATGAAATAGTTATGAAAGAATCTTTCTAGTAAAGCAATTTGACATTAAAAGTTATATGTTTTAACTTCTAGTTGTTCTTTAATATTTTTCACATGATGGTTATTGTTTGTGTGCTGATAAATGCATACAGCAGCTGATATACTTTCAGAGTTTCAGTTGTGTTTTGCTAATGACAAATATGCAATGCACATGAAAGAAGAAAACTAGACATGATAAAGGTTTTTGCAGTCTTACAATGGTCCTTGCTGAATCAAAGTCATTGGTTTTTTGGTGCCACCTACTTCTTGAATGCTTCCTTTGGTGAATATATCTTCTTATTGTTGCTCCTGTGCATGTTTGTTTTTGATTTCCTCCTGTCCTTTGGTGTCTTTAGTTTAAGCATTTCTTCCTGATGCATTCATATGCATTTATTTCACTTTGACCAAACAACTTAGACGAAATTTTATTGTAATTATTCAGTGTAAATGGATATATTCTGTAGTTTTTTTGAAGAGTGCAATCTTTGAAATTGAGAAGGCGGTGGATTTCTTGTCAGCTGCACCAATTGATGCCATCTGTAGTCACCTGCCTTGTCGCGAGAAAGTTAGGGAATAGATTTGCAGACAACCACTGGGAACTCAGGGACTTCACTGCTAACTTAGTTGCCTCGATATGCAAAAGGTAATTCTTCTTGTCCACTATCTGTTCTACACACAACAGTGATAATTTGGTAGGGTGCATGGTTGGCAACATTCAGCCTTTATATTATGTAAGCACAGTCTGACTGAGGTTTTTGATCAAACCATTTGGATTATTAATTTTTATGATCATGGCTGTGGTTGAATAATCTGTGTATGGCCACTTGCACAATTAATGCCAGCATTGAATCATTTGATGGGGTTTTCCTTGTCTATTTGCCCTACTTGGGTAACAAACATAGCCCAGCATTCCTGACCTGACGTGACTTTACTGGTAATTTCATACTATATGTGGGCACCAAATGAATTTTAAGTTTGTGTTCTACCTTCATAATATTTTTTTTAGATACTGAGTTAGATAACTTGATTAATTCTCAATTGACTGACTTGTCTACTTAGCAACTAAAACTGTCTATTTGTAAAAGTTATTTTGCTTTGTAAAGTATGTTCCGAGAGTAAGTTGGAGTGGCTGTTGCAGATTTGGGCATGTTTATAACAGTCTTCAGACACGTTTGACAAAAACTTTGCTCAATGCTCTTTTGGACCCAAAGCGCTCATTGACTCAGCATTATGGTGCAATACAAGGATTGGCAGCTCTTGGGCCCAATGTGGTATTTTCTCTTGCATGCTTGTAGCAAGCATAAATATGCAAATTTTGTTTAAATGCTTGTTGGAAATTATTTTCTTGCTTATAATAGTATGAGGTTGCTGTTGACACATTATCTATAAGAATTTAAATAAGCCTCATCAGTTGTGTAATAGAATAAAACCGAAATGAAATAGGAGAAATAATGAACAAAGGAGGAAGCAGAAGATATATGTGACATGCAGTGGTGTTGTCTGCTTTTCTCATTATTCTTACCAACAGGTGTGCAACAACTTTTCTATTTAATGATAGAGGTAATGGCTTGCTGAGGATGCATTTTGGATTTTAATACAGACAATAGTGAAGTTGATATTGAAGGATATGCTAAAGTAGTTATTCATAGTTTTATAATTAGGAGCACAGTGTCCCAAAATTGCATATTTGATGCTGAGCTGAAAAATATTGCTTGTAGGAAAGTAGAGATATCTTGATACTTGTATCTTGTGAAGCTAGTCA